GTGAGTAGAAGCTAAAGCCCTGTGATTGCCAATTTTAAACAGTCATGGCCTTCCTGAATTCTGGGAGGTATAGTTTTTTTAGAGGGTTAGGAGCGTAGACGCACCGCGGCTTAGGATGGAAGCTTTCGCTCTCCTGCCCAACCGCCTCTCGTTCCCAGGTGCTTTGAAAAGAACCCTCTTCTGTGGAAATCTCATCCATTCATTTCTCCCCTGCATTTAGCGCAGTTACCACTCCCTCAAGTTCCTGAGACCAAACGAATAGAAAGAAGAGGCGGGAAGATGACAACGAAGAGGAGTTCGGCGGCAGCTGCCATGAAAAGGCGCGCGCCGGCCAAAAGGTGATGTCAGGGGCAGTCTGAAAAAGGGCCGGCAAGGAAGGGCGTATGTGACGGGCAGTTGCCTGTTCTATTGGGAGTGCTGCTTCTTTTGGCGAGACTGGCTCTTTTGGAACAGGCCGGCGGAGGTTCGAGATCCTGTGTGGCTAAGGCTTCACGCCATGGAGTGATACTGTAATGATACTCAGTATCTGTGGTCGGGTCGAGGCCTGCTACAGAGCGAGCAGCAAGAAGATGCCGCGGTCCCTGCGCTGAGGCAGGTTACAGCGCGTAAAACTTCAACACACGAGCAAGACTAGTTAGCGACCCGCGACGGCCGACCCCCAGCACCCTACCCTCAACCCCCGCCTCGAGGGAGGCAGAGAGCGCGAGAGATTGGGGAAGTGCAAAGGCCCGCCCCACAAGCATCCATCACTTCAACACCAAAGCAGCATACTGCCTTGTTGCCAGACTAGCCCTTTTCTGTCGCGGCGATCAAGCGAGGTGGGGCCCCTCCCTTCCTATGCCACACTCTCGCCTCTCGCCGGCTTCTTGTTCCATCAGGCCTCACGCCAGGCCTAGGTTCCATCGTATGTGGCCTGGCGGCGTGCGGCTTCCTTAACAAAAGCCCCCAACGGAGAGGAAAGTCTATACTCCTCAGCGGGAGGCTTGGGTTTACAAGGATACAACAACTCTGCACTTGGTTAGGGTAGGAAACGGGTTGGGGCGCAGGAGGAACTATTTGCACCACGGTGCCAGATATGGTTAAGATGGCCCTGGTTGGAGTTCACATATTCCAGCTACCTATTGGACTGGCTTGGCCCAAAGAAGCGTGCATCACAAAAAATGGACACCAATTGTGTGGTAATGTTGGGTGTATGAATTTTCAAAATTGTCAAAATTTAACCTAGCCAATACGGCCTGATAAGCGCCATTGTGACTGTGTTAGAGATAATTTTTGCGCGAGAACCCTGAAATGATTATACTGGTAATCTGAATTAGGGAGCTCGTCACCACTTGTCGCAATTCAAATATATTCCCACTTCATGCATCTCCTGTGGGATCAAGCCTCCTCTACTGATGTTCAGCATGCTCGCGAAGTTGCAATTCCGCATTGTTCTCAGTAGTGCATTACCAAATTGTATCTACAGCCCCCTGGGCGTTCCTGTGCTCTAAACAAAGCAGCAGCCAAGTCTTGGAATATGGGACCATAAGGTCATTCGTGCATGCTGACTTTTGGAAATTTCGAGCAAGAGTAGTCTTTGAGGAGTGCCTGCTTCAGCTGGTCGTTGGAAAAGGCCTTGTTAGGTTATGTGGACTGGCCTCACCCAATATTATTGAATTGTTGTTATCTACGAGCTGATCTGTCTCGCACGCCAGGGTGCAATAGGAAGGGCAAACTGAAACAAGGACGCTAGCGTAAAAAAAAATATTGAGAAGAGATTATAAAAGAGTAAGAAAGTCCATTCAATACCTTATCCTCTGGCCTCGTCAACTTTTTGCCTCATACGTGGGGACGGTTGTTTACAATGCCTCTAGAAGAATGCTTCTAGCTTTTAATTCTATGGGGAAATTATCGCGCGCCCCATGTGCTGTGGCAAAGAATCTTGGAAAAGCTTTTTTTGCAACAACAACAAACTCCGTATTTTTGTTTTGACACTAGCACCCAGCTTTGTAAATAAGTTCACAAACATTACTAACGTATAGATTTTTTTGCTAGCCTGCTAAGAGGCTAAAACCATGGAAACACAGGCTGCTAAATAAATCTGCCTTCTATCAAGTGCACTGGGGACAAAGGAAGCCCACTTCATGTACCCGTCTAGCAAAGAGAAAGCCAAGCCACTTACTCTCTGGGATGGAACTCCTGGCCACCTATGGCTGCCAGGTAAGGTGTTAAATATTTTGCCCTTATGAAAGCAGCAAACATCAATTGAATATGGCAAGACAATCCATTCCAGACTCGCTGGCATTAGTAGGACTAATTTATTTTAAATGTAAGTATTCTGGTTTGACCAGGCTGCTGAAATCAGACTTGCAAGCAACCGTTCAGCAAGCATCCAGTTGTTTTTAAAGGAATACAGATTCTGTAAAAGTTTGAATTTTTTATGTCTTCTGAGCAGACATAGAGGAAGAACCAGATGTTGCTACTAATTTTTTGCTTTGTTTTTTAGAAACACTGTATTTTAAAAAAATTAAAAATCCCTGTATCAGGCATCAAACATCTCAGCCAACATGATACTCCCTGTGCTTTTTAACACTGAATTTGTAGACTTACTCCATGTCTCCGTCCTCTGAATCAGACGCTTCACTGTTTCCGTCGGCATCCTTAGTCACTTCAGGAGGGCTGAGTTCTTTTAAGATTTTACTCACATCGACCCCGAACACTTTCTCGTACAGAATTTCATACAGAATAGCTAATCAGGGCAACAAAACAGCATTTGTCAGGTTTAAGCAATCATACTTTAAACAGTTCTACATGCGACATCATTTTACAGAGCTTTAATTACATGTTGAAATTAAGCATCAAGGATACTATCTGAGAGGTATTGATGCTGCCAATGTGTCCTGCAGATTTCTTCAAGGGAGTTAAGCAATCTGGGAAAGTAGCCAAAACTTAGCTGATTAACGAGTCAAGGGCTGCGTTTGGATAACCACATTTGGCATGAGCAGGCAACAATTATTCTTCGGTTTGTGTGTACTTTTGGAGAAATACTACAATTCACTTTCTGGGTAAAACTTCAGCATATCTATACAGCTTCCAGTTCCTAAGCAGGAAAAAGGCCATTCTTGGTTTCAACAAAAAGATTTATAACGAAAATGCCAGATTGTATTCCAGATGCCAGAATAACTGCTCTGATCTGGAGAGTCCCTTCCATCGGCAGAAAACACAGTTTTTCATCAAATGCTCAAAACTCCTCTCAGTCCATTCCCACTGCCTCTTATTTATTATATTTATATTCCTCCTTGCTTCCAACATGGAACTCAGGTGACATACATGGATTCCCATGTGGTCTCCCATCCAAACTTACTTACTTTCCACAAGTTGGCCACCTTCAAACCAAAACAAGACACAGAAAATTGTGCCTTCAACCATGCTGCAGTTTTAAGGCAAGTAAGCACTGGAAATGGTTGTCTCCAAGGAACATGGGAACGTGAGGCTTCAGCTGGGTCTGCCAAGGCTCACCATCAAAATATCAGTACTTACACTGGCAAAGAGCAGCATTGACCGTGTATTCTACCGGATAGACAATATCGTAGTGGCTTCCACTGGTGAAACACAGCAATACCTAAGAGGAAGCAGAAGAATAATATTGAAACAGTACAATCAGAAACCAACACACTGACCAAAACCAAATCAACAAATACCTCCACAAAGCAATTTTAAAGAAACATTTAGCAAGTAGAACTGTTTCAAGACTCTATACTTAACTAGCTGAATACTGTCTATGTTTCCTGGATATACTCAAGCAGTAGAGGAAACCCAACAGAAGTGCGTTGACTTGAATTTTATTAGGCTCAGATATGTAGACAATCCCAGGATAAGAATTTTTAGAATATTGATAGCAGGTTTGTTGGGTGGGGTGGAGAATTCAGATTTGGGACTCTGATATCAGAGGAGGAGGGTAACACTCCTCCCCTGCCTCAAACATCACATCCCCAAGCCAAGATTTCAGCCATATGCACAGGGCTGCTTTTTAAAAAAATGCAATTGTTAAGCTTCAGAACAAACACAAAAAAGAAACAGAACAAAAAAATGCTCACTGCTACTGCACAATACTTGTAAGTTGCCTCCCCAAATATGGGAAATAGCATTAAGACTAGGAAAAGTGACAGGGGGAAGGAGCTTCCTCTCCAGCCCTGATTCAAATCCGACATAGAAGCTGTTGATATTTATTTTCAAGATGTAGGAGAAACTAACAACACAACGTTTTAGTCTGGCTTCAAGACCCTAAGCTAAGCAAGCTTAACCCAAGCCAAGCATGTACAGTGGTACCTCAGGTTACAAACACCACAGGTTACAAACTCCGCAAACCCGGAAGTAGTACCTCAAGGTTACAAAACTTTGCCCCAGGATGAGAACGGAAATTGCGCAGCGGCAGCAGGAGGCCCCATTAGCAAAAGCGCGCCTCAGGTTAAGAACGGTTTCAGGTTAAGAACGGACCTCCGGAATGAATTAAGTTTGTAACCTGAGGTACCACTGTATTGTTATAATGCTGTACTCTTGTTTTGGGCTCAGAGGTAGCATGCCATTATCCCCACATGGCAAAACATGCCACACCAGCTCTGCCCTAACTATTCCGCTGCAAGTTTGCCAATACTAGCACTTCTCTTACCTTGTCAGGAAAGCCATTTTCAGTTACATGCGAAGGAGCAGAATTTGGTTCCTGATATATTATGAAGTCTTTTCTAAAAGAATATGCAAAGGGGGGGAAATGTATTAATAACAGATTTTAAAATAAAATTAACAGTACAATATCATTAACAGTACAATCATCCACATCCAAACAGTCCCAGAACCATATATATCCACTAAGAAAATGGCAACATCAATTGTTGCCAAATTCTTGAACAATAATTCTTCACAGTAGCCAAATGTCTGCTTTGATTCATACTGAAGGAAAACGTAGAAGTATTTCTTACCTGTACATAAGAAGAAAGGGCACTTATTTCCACTTGTCCGACCCATTCCTATTATCAAAGGGGGGGATATTGCCAATGAAAAACCATCACTGAGGAAGAATACTTTTACATCAAGTTAGAACACAAGCCCACCAAGAGCTTCTTCTCCACAAGCCCAGTGGAAAGTCACCAAGTTGCTCAAGAACACACATCAAAGTTTACCAGCAACAGACTAACATTTTCAAAGTTTCATCGTACCTCGACTAATGTGCATTTGCTGCAGCTCATCAGAATTATATTTAGGGATATGAAATGAAAATTTAAAAGTCATTTCAATCCAAATAACCTCATCCTCCGTGAAGTATATTGTGCAAAAATACGGGGGGTGGGGGTGGATTAGCCCCCAATACCAATGCTTGGCACCCCTCTTCCCCAAACTGTTTTCCATTTGTCCAACAGCGAACACAGGACATTGACTTAAGCAACTGGCCTATTTGATTAGGCGGTCTATAGGACTCAGACCGAGTTGGCAACTCAGACCCACCCAAGCTACATATCTGGCAGGTGGCAAACCTCTGTTACCTTTCTACTGTACTGCCTACTGAAGGACTTCCTTTTGTGAAAAGCCTTGGTCTGTTATCTTCTTGTTTTTTAATTGTTGATGCTTTCATTGTTTTACCCCAGGGGTAGGCAACCTAAGCCCGGGTGCGGCCCAATCACCTTCTCAATCTGGCCCACGGACGGTCTGGGAATCAGCGTGTTTTTACATGAGTAGAAGGTGTCCTTTTATTTAAAATGCATCTCTGGGTTATTTGTGGGGGATAGGAATTCGTTCATATATATTTTTCAAAATATAGTCCGGGCCCACCACATGATCTGAGGGCCCATGGCTGAAAAAAAGGTTGCTGACCCCTGGTTTGCCCAAATGAATATGGCACTCTCAACAGTAAATGCCTACATTTAGATACTATTAGAGGCTTTCCTCTCCCTTTAAATCTTTGGCAGCTTGCTAAAGCCAGCTAAGGACAGGGCAAAACGGTTTCTGAATTCCTACTTGCAGGACCAGCAAAGTCTGTGCAATTCAAAATGTGTGTTCCTCTGCCAGACTTGAAATTATATTATGAAGCTTCATGTCTCTGTTGGTTGAAAGAATGGATAAAGTTAAAAAATACTGAGTTATTGGACTTAGAAGGTTTTGATAACAGATTTGGCTGGCACGCATATCTATGGTGTGAGAAAAGAAAGATTCATAAAGGCTTCGAAAACCACATCTTTAGAAGATCTCTCATAGAAATATGGGAGAGATATAGAGGTTTATTAGAATCAAGAACTCCCCACTGGCTATCTCCGTTAGAAGTTATGAATCTTAAGAAAGTCAATATGAGGGGGAACTGGATTACATATAAAGAATTGATTATAAAGGAAGGAGGAAAATGGAAAATGAAACCCTATGGAGAAGTGAAAGAGTATGTGTATGATTGGTTGCATTATTATCAGGTTAATGAAATGTTTAAAAAGGACTTAAAAGAAAGAGGTTATGAGGAGAAAGATCGAAATTTCAAATAGAAATAATAAACAATGAAAATAAAATTTTGTCCAAGATGTATAAAATCTTGCTAGAATGGTATACAAAAGACGAGGAAGTTAAATTGGTTATGATACACTGGGCCAGAGATCTGGGTTATAATATACAGTTTAACGATTGGATAAAACTGTGGAATGAAAATATAAAATTTACGGCATGTACTGCGTTAAAGGAAAATGTTATGAAAATGATTTATAGATGGTACACCACACCCGTGAAACTAGCAAAAATGTATAAAACATGTAATAAGTGTTGGAAATGTAAAGAAAAAGAAGGAACATTTTATCATATGTGGTGGGACTGTAAGGTGGTGAAGGGCTTCTGGGAAATGATATATAATGAGAGGAAAAAGATGTTGAAATATACGTTTGTTAAGAAACCAGAGGCTTTTCTTCTAGGAATAGTAGGAAATGAAATAAATAGAATGGACTGTAAACTTTTCCAATATGCAGTAACAGCAGCGAGAATATTATTGGCCCAAAAATGGAAACAGGAACAACTGCCGACGCTCGAAGAATGGAGAATGAAACTGATGGAGTATGCTGAACTGGACAAACTAACAGGAAAGATCAGATATATACGAGATCAAAAGTTCGTTGAAGATGGGAAAATTTTCAGACTATCTGAAATGTGTATGTCATGAGCAAATAACGCTAGTGGGATTTCAAGAAGTTCTGTAAATGATAGAGGACTATTGTATTGATGAAAACTAAGTGTGTGAAGGTTTATAAAATGCAATATAAAATTAGGAAATGCGTATTTAAAAATTTGAATAATGGATGATTGTCAGAGAGGTTGAAGGAAGTCTAAAAGAGAAAATATGTGATAAATTTAAATTGGACACTATAAATGTATATTGGAAAATTTAATAAAAAATTTAATTTAAAAAAACAAAATGTGTGTTCCTCCACCATCAATATGGGGTAATGGGTACTGTTATTATCCCTTTTTGCAAATTCCACAAACACGCATATGAACTCAAATCATTTTTTTAGCAGGGCTTGTGAAGAGCACATCACATGTAACACCAAGACACAAGAAAAGCTTGTGAACACTTCCGGATTAATATTTAGGGGAAACAGATGAGCCAGCTGCAGTCAAGTAGTGTGCTTTACATCACACACTGCATACTTAATCCAACACCACATACCTGAGGGTTTTCAAGGCTCTTCAGGTATTCTTCAAATGGTCCCTCTATAAACTGTAAAATATTAACAATGAAAAGAATTTGTTAGCGGCATTGTGGTGAAACAGCTTCGACAGAATTCCAGAAAAAGTTCAGTTCTGTCTGGAAACCCACTATGTGATCTGAAAGCCTTTCCAGAGCAGGGGGCCCTCAGAGGCCAAGGGACTCTTAATCTCAGGGTCAGCGGTTCGAGCCCCACATTGGTATTGCAGGGGGTTGGACTAGATGACCCTTTGGTCCCTTCCAATTATATGATTCTGTGACTGAATGCAACCCGCAAGGTTTGCTGATTCAGCCTTCACGATTCTCTGGTCTGTAACCATCCCCGGGTGCTTTTATCTAGCTGAAAAGTGTCCTTTAACTGTGATAATGCCTCTTGCTGCCCTAGACAGGTGTGTTCACATGTCCTAGGTGTATAGAAACCTCTGCCTTCTGCATGGCTAGAATGTAGCCTGCCATACAAAAGTAGAAGTCACAGTCATTGTTCCACACACTTTCTGCCAACCATTGGCACGCAGCTGCTAAAAAGTTAAGGCCTTCAAGCTAAAAATAGGTTGCCCACCTGCTGCTCAAGTCTCAGATTTAAGGGGGAAGGAAAATGCACTCTGCACCTGCTCAGAGGAACTTCATATGTTCCAGGGTTAAATTGCTGGGATTAAAAACAGGTGTCAGAGCTGAGCCCTGGTACAAATTCAACTCTGCATATCAAAACAAAGCCTTCAATAACTTCACTGTTTTTATTTCTCATTTACTGCATGTCTCTCCCACCTTTCCTCCCAGGAGCTCAAGGTGGCATACAGTTATTCTTTTCCCTATTTCAGGCATGTCCAAAGTCTGTTTCAGGGGCCTAATCCAGCCCGCTGGTCAGTTTAATCTGGTCCATGGCAGTTTATTTCCTGGGGTGAAGTCCCCAAAAAAGCTCAACAACTTCAGTCCTTAAAAAAGGTCAACAACTTTGTCAACAACAATCAAATCTGGCCCTCTTTGAAAAAAGTTTGGACACCACTGCCCTATTTTATCCTCACAACAACCCTGTGAGGTAGTTAGGCTGGGAGCGAGTGACTGGTCCAAGATTACCCAGTGAGTTTCATGGCTGAGTGAGTATTTGAACCCTGGTCTCCCAGGCCCTAGTCCAACAACACTCTAACCACTGTTGTTATCCCTAATGTAATGCAGTCCTGCCTGGCAAATAGCCTACCCTCAGCAAATTACTCATAAATAAAGGCTGCAACAATCGCAATTTTGTACAAAAGGTTATGTCGATTCTTCTTCTCCAACATAACACTTAATCAGCCACAGACAAAAACAGTCAACTATTCAATTCCAAATGTAAAAAATAATAAGCCTAGAACAGTTCACATAGGCAAAACAACCCCAGCCACACAATCTGCATGGAAGACACAACAGATGTTAAAAGTGATCTGACGCATCCCAGAGTGGCCATCTCCACTATCGAAGCAACTTGAGAAAGTATTGCCAAGGCCACGGGAATCACAGCAAACTCTTCCTGGCAGCATCAGGCCACGCATTGCCTCCTCCTCCACAAGAATACAGATGTGAAAATCCCCAAGGCAGCTCAGGCCACACTGCATGCAGGAACCATGGGCCCTCTTGGAGGAAGCTCCCAAGCTTTGAGCTTGGGACTGATGAGTATCTAAGAGATGCATCCAGATGACAAGCTTCTGGCAGGTGTGCCAAAGTAAGCAGGTTCACAATACAAATCTGACTCTTGCAACATTAGGAAGATACACATCATACTGTTTTTGTTCATAACAAAGTAATTGACAATAACCGGAGAAAATGCAGCTACTCTGTTAAGAATGCATGCAAGCAATCTAATGCAAGCAGCAGCTGACAGGAATGCTGGTTTCACGGTATTTGGACACCCCCTCAGAACAAGTTCCAGTGCCCTGGAAAAAAAGCTGACTCAGATGAAGTATCTACAAAAGCCACACCTATACAGTGGTACCTCGGTTTAAGAACAGCCCTGTTTACAAACGATTCGGTTTATGAACTCCACAAAACCGGAAGTAGTGTCCCGGTTTGTAAACTTCACCTTGGTCTAAGAACGGAATCCGAACAATGGAAGGGCACCGGCGGTGGGAGGCCTCATTAGGGAAAGCGTGCCTCAGTTTAAGAACGGTTTCGGTTTAAGAACCGACTTCCAGAATGGATTAAGTTCGTAAACCGAGGTACCACAACAGCCCTGTAAGGTAAATTAGGCTGAGAAGAAGTGACTGGCCCAAAAATCATCCGGTGAGCTTCATGACTGAGCGGTGATTTGCACCCTGATCTCCAAGGTCCTAGTCTAATACTCTGACCACTACACCACACTGCATTTATTTAGAGCACTTATTAATTTACTATGTTCATTTATCTCTTCCCATTGTGGAACTCAAGGCAAAGTACAAGGGGGTTTCCCTGGCTGTGTCTCCTCCAGGCACTGACCAGATTCAGACCCGCTTAGCTTGCATTAAGAGATGACTGCATCATGTGTCTTCAGCCCATGTCCTGCAACCATAAACCATCTGATCAAAGCAAAACAAAGTTGCCCTTAGCCAGAGTGTGTTGGAAGGAGCGTAGACCCAGGGAGAGTGGGAAAGGAAACGGTTGTTTACACCAACCTTTGCTAACCTGGTACCCTCCATTTTGGACTACAACCCTCATCAGCCCAAGCCAGCATTTTATTTTATTTTTTGCCAACCTGGCGTACACCCACAAAGCAGAGCCGTGAGAAACAGCACTGCCCCTGATAAGACACCCTGCACAATGAAAACATCGCTTGCTTACCGCTTCAAAATGCTCTCTGTTGTTCCGCAGGAAGTGTATACAAGCCATCCTAATGTCCAGATGTTGAGCCTGGGAATGGAAAACCTAGAGGAGTCAGATAAAAACAACAGCGACGAAGTGTTTAATGAACTGGTACCAATGAACAGACACATTACTGAGTTTCAAACTTGCATAGGCTCATGCACTCAAATGTAAGGAGTCAAAAAGCTGCTGCCTTAGTAGCAAAGGCAAAATAAAAGACAAATATACAGCAAAAACTGAGGCCTGATCTGCACATGTGGAGTCTGAAGTGGAAGAGTAGACTGCCCAAATTTTAATTGGGGCAAGTATGGCACTCTGTGAAAAGTGTGTCCATGCTTTTCCTTAGTTATGTGGGTTTTATTTCTCAAGTTTAGGGAGAGACTGAAAATGGTATTTCCCACATGAACACACCCCTGCAGTCTGAAAGACATAAGAGATGTAGCTATAATACCTTGCTGCTCCATCTCACTTTGACAACTATGACTGTCCCAGCGTCCTACCAGTTCCCTCAGTTGGAACGGGCAAAGAAGGGCACAAAAAGAGAGCCTCACCACCCTCAATCAAGTCCAGCTGAGCAATAGCTTCTCCCAGATCACAGCTTTAAGAGTGGAGAGAAGAGTTCAGAAAAAATATTTTAAGAATGTTATGTGACGTTGCTCAATTCAATATTTTTACATGGTTTTGTATTGTGGTATATAGCTGAACCCCCCCCCCCGCCCCCATCTTCAAAAAGCATTAGTAAATGTAAAGGACCCCTGGCCGTTAAGTCCAGTCGCGAACGACTCTGGGGTTGCGGCGCTCATCTCGCTTTACTGGCCGAGGGTGCTGACGTTTGTCCACAGACAGTTTTTCTGGGTCATGTGGCCAGCATGACTAAGCCGCTTCTGGCGAAACCAGAGCAGTGCACGGAAACGCCATTTACCTTCCCATCGGAGTATTTATCTACTTGCACTTTGACGTGCTTTTGAACTGCTGGGCTGGCAGGAGCTGGGACCAAACAACGGGATTTGAACTGCCAACCTTCCGACCGGCAAGCCCAAGGCTCAGTGGTTTACACCACAGTGCCACCCGCGTCCAGTGAAAAGCATTAAAAATGCTCAATTAACTGAGGTTCTGCTTCCCCCAGCAGAAGCCTGCCCCCCACCTATAATGTTCCCTTTTTGAGGGGGGGGATTTTTACCCATGATCTCAAAAAAAGCTCTAACTTTTTTTGGGGGGCCCCCCAAAAGTGAGTCAATAGGCAGGAGGGATGGTCCATGACAGAAACCAAGCAGCCTGCTAGAGGAGAAAAAAACCCTCCTTGGTGCCCAATACAGAAATACAACTCCCTTCCCTCTGCCAGCCTTCTTTGTGGGCTTATTTTACAAGGCTATTTAGTGCTTCAGAGGCTTCAAATCACTGCACACATATTATGCTGTCCTTACAACAATCCTGCGAAGTAGTTCAGTTCTGTCCTTCTTCCCATACTGGGGAGGGGAAGAAAGACAGAGACACTCACCTGATTCCTAATTAATTCACAACATCTGGGGACCCACAGGTGCAGAAAGGCTGCTCAGGAGTTCTTAATTCACTCAGCTGCTCCCTGACAACCCTGATAAGCCAACCCAGCAGGCTTGCGGCACCTTAAAAGGACTAATGAAATTGTTACGGCATAAAACATCTGCTGAAATGGACTTCACAAAAGCTTAGGCTATAAATTACATTGCCAGCCTTTTCAAGGTACCACAAGACTTTTTGTTGCAACAATCTAACTCGGAAATTATGGTGTTTTTTTAAAAAAAAACGTGTTCTCAGAAGTGATTCAGTTATAAGCATCAGGAATCAATCTGACAATACAGCCCAACCCTGTGCGCCCCCCCTCCGTCGCCCCACAACTGCCCCTAGAAGTGGAAATATTACTAAGCACAAGCCAAGTCCCCTACATTCAGCTTTGGGAAGGTGCAGAGTCATTATAGCGACAGGAAGCTGACCTAATTTCAAAGCAGCCCTGGGGGTGTTTTGCACTCTGCAAGCCAGACAGCATTGCACCCATTTCCCCCAGGCCGAATGCCATATTCCAGTCTGGACATAAATGATCCACGAGTCGGCTGAGCCGCAACAGAAATAAAGCAGAGCGCAAGGCGTTTTGCGTTTTCAGGCTACGCACTTAAGGAGGCCGAAGTTTAACTTTTTTTCCCCTTTCACCATCGTATATAAATAATGTACAAGCATCCCATCAAGCATATGCAAAAGGAAGGATAAATATCGTGTCTCCTTTCGTTTACCGGCAGATTTTAAATAGCAGTCTACAAAATTGGGAGTTCGGAACATAATAAACATAGGAGGTGCAACCGAAACAACTTGTCGGAAGGTGACCAAAGAGCTGGGGAGGAAAGAAAATCGTTTCTCTCGAAACTAAAAAAAGGCATCTCTCTCTCAACAGTGCAACAAGTTCGCGGAGGGCGCTCAACTCCGCTTTCCACACATAGATTCTTTTTCCCGGACGGGTTGCTTTCCTTGGGCGGCTGCGCCCCTAACCGCTCGCGTTTGGCCCTGGAGACCGCGCAGCCCAGATCCGCTAAAAACTTCCACCAACTCGTTTCCCCCGGCTTTCTCCGCCGCCTGAAGCCAGAGACAGCCGAGGCGCGCCGGCAGGTCAAAGTCCTCCTTCCCAGGGGATTCTAGCTGGACCTCGGAGAGGAGGGAGAGAGACCCTCTCCCCGAACAAAGCCGCCTCTCACGACCCTCGCGCCCTCCGCTTGCAAAGGGAGACCTTGCGCACTCACCTGCTCCGCCACGGCTCGGAAGAGGCATGACCCGTCCTTCGCCACTCGCTTGCGGTACAACCCCTGAGATCGCAGGCAGGCGTCCATGGAGGAATCCGGCGGGGCCTCCGCGCCCGAGCCCGGGGGGCTCTGCTCCTCGCCACCTGGCTTCTCTTCTGCAGCAGCCGTAGCAGCCGTCGCCTCCATGTTTATTTATTGCTCCGGGGGTTGCAGGGAAATCGCGGCTTCAGCCCCACATGCTGCAGGAGAAAGCGGGAGAGATGCACCTCAAGCCCCTCGCTCCAAGGGCGGCTGGCGGCGCAGCGGGAACCGGACTCCCGTTCGCAGGTCTCCTGCGAGGCGCCCCGCATGCACCGGGCGGCGGCAGCGTCTGCCGCTTCTTGCTCGGCCTTCCCGCCGGAGTTTCCTTGGCTTCAAGCCCGGCGCGGAGAACTTGCGCGCTCCTCCTGCTGCCCCGCTTGGGAAGGCGGCTCTCGCCCGCTCCCTTTACGCATCACTGGGCTCCCGGAGCGGAAACAAAAGAGAAACGAAACATGTGGCGCTTTCCTTCCCTGAAACGGGCAGCCCTGAAGTTTGTTTTCACTTTCAGAGCCAGACCGACACCCAAAGGGCTTCTGGGAGTTGTGGTTCGGCCGCTGCAGGAAGCGGCCGCGGCGGGGAGGGAGGGAGGGAGCCGGGAGGCAAAGGGGCTTGCAGGGAAGCGCGGACTCCTCTTATAGGAGAGCGGAGGAGCAAAGCAGCTGCTCTTTCCCGCGGAGGAATCCTTGGCCACAGCGCGATAGCTGTGATATTGGTGGCCAAGCTTCCGGCTTAGGGGGCGATGAGGGTTCTGGAAACTTTAGAATCCACAGCTGGGCAACACCACCTTCATTAAGACCAAACAAAACTCCGCAAAGCAAGCTTTCAAGCTCTCCAGAAGTCTTTCTGAAGCTAAATGTTACAAAGTACCCCCCCCCAAAAAGTCCAAAAGTTAGGCTGGGTGTTTAAGCCATGAGACCTGCATTTTTAGACCCAGTTCGAGGGTGGAGATTGCAAACATTCAGTGGGCTGTGCACACACGTCATACCATAAAAGCACATTCGTTCCATCAGATAACTGGGCACTGTAGTTAAGAGTTGCTGGGAGTTGTATCCCTCCTTCTTTTCTGCAAATGAGCTTTGGATGTGAAGTGACAGAGAAGAGGGAGTTTAAGCATGTGCAGAGTGTCTTTCCTTCTCTCTAATCAGTGACTGAAGAGTAACCTTTGTGGATACAATGACTGCATTTTTCTTTACTTCTCTGCCTCACAAGCAAGCCAGTACAGTATGCTCCAATAAGCTGGGTCTTAAAATGGCACTCCCCACACCGGTTATCTGTGTGGAATGTTTGCTGAATTGCAAATGACACCCCTCCCATAGCACCAAGCGCCCTGGGTGATCTTAAGCCAAGCACAGTATCTCTCAGCCTCAATTCCCTCTCAGAGTTGTTGTGACGATAAAATAGGTGTATCATGCCCAGGTGGTGTAGACAGAATGTAGTGGGATGTACACAGAAAAGGGACAACGCTCCCACCAGTGTGGAAAGTCAATTGCAATTCTGCTTGTCACTTGCAATGGAAGAACGATGATTGGGTAGACTAGGAGCTACCTTGTCCAGAAGCAGCCAGGCTTAATATGCTCCTTTTTCAGCCATAGACACAAAAGCAACATCCATTCAATTAAAATCCAAATGCAATAACAACCACAACCAACATAAAACTCAAATATCCACAACGTGCTATCAATTTACATATCACAAGGATACAATATTTAAGGAGAATATTGTTCTCTTTTCAAAAGTGAGCACACATTGCTTGTTTGCCCCATATTGGTTATTTGGAACATCCTGAGAGAATGGAGCAAGCTCAAGAAAGAGCTGCTGGTGGCACTTTAGAGAGTCCCTAATTTTGCAGGAGCTTGTGAGATCTTACCAGCTGGTATCAAAAACAACACAGGCTTTTGTGGCTCCTTTAAATGTTAACAAATTATTGTTTTTATCATGAATAATAATTTATTATCATTCATGGATTATGGTCCACTTAATCAATGCGGCTAAACGGAAGCTGCTGAACCATTAGACTTGGACTGGAGATTGGGAGCAGCTCTGCCTGACTGCGGAAAGTAATTAGGTGTGCATAAACACTATTCATCTTGTTTTGCCCATTCATTCCTTACATGGCTGGCAGTAGATCACACAGACGCTTGATTGTATATTTTACTCCCTTCTGTAGACCTTGTTTGCATTAAATTTTGCATAGTGATGGCTTTTGCATTGATGTGTCTTCTGCCCTCACTTAGTAACAGTTAATACACACGATTATTCTTTCTGTTGTGTGTGTGTTTGTAATTTGCCAAGTTACAGTACTTTGTGTATCTAATTAAACAGGTTTTGATCCACAGAAGCTTATAACACAGTAAGTTTGTATGCCTTCCAAGGTGTTGTTGTTTTTCTTCCACACGCTGGCTGGGGGCTGGTGGGAATTATAGTCCAAAAGCAACCATAAGGCACCAGGGACTCAGCTATACAGCTGCAAATAAAATGTTTTAAGTGTATTGTAAAGTGCATTATAAAAATATGGTACTAGATGGTGATGGCAAGCTATGGCGAATTCAATATATTTTTCAAAACATTTTTTCAAAAAAGCATTTTCACAACTTTTTAATGTGTCTAGATTCCACCTAGGTTAGCGAAGAATGAGCTAGATAATAATGTGCTGTCTTTGGGTGTGATGAAGCCTTTTACTGGGACCAAAAACTCTTCCAAGATACTGAAAACAAGATACTGAACTATGGGGAGGTGGGGGGAATCATGTTACACACCCAGACTGTTGCTTTATCTGATGAAAACGGCTGTCAAGGGACAAGAAGTTACAGTACAGGCTATTTTAATTTGATAAGGAGCAGCTAGGCTTTGCCCCAATGTTCTTGGATTCTTACCCATTTCAATGAACAATGAAAAGTCTGCAGCAAACAGAAAAAAAGATAATATTCACAATACTTGCATTGCAATTAAGCGAAATGCTTTTTAAACAAATCTTGTATGAGGATTTTCTCTTTCCTTTTCAGCGTTTGGTCTCCAGTCAGGAGGAGCTGCAGCCATTCTTTCTGAGGTATCTGGCTCAGGGAAACATATTCCCCTAGTAGGCAAGTAGGAAGAGAAGATTAAGGTTCCTTTTGCTCCCCTTCAGCAGTTGAAGAACACATGACTAAGACTTGTTGAACAGTTACAGGTAGGTAGCCATGTTGGTCTGTCGTTGGTATGAAAGCTCATACCAATAACAAACTTAGTCTCTAAGGTGCTACTGGAAGGAATTTTTTTATTTTGTTTCCACTTGTTGAACAGAAGGTGTGTTATGTTCATTTGCCTAGGATAGGACCAGGATAAGGGGAAGGTCCATAGGCTCACAGGTAGAGCACCTGCTTTGAAAGCAGTAAGCTCAAGGCCAATGCTCAGCATTGCCAAGTAAGACTGGGAGAGACATAGGGAGCTGCCTTATATCGAGTGAATCCAATGGCCCATCTAGCTCAGTACAGTGGTACCGTCGGGGTTAAGTACTTAATTCGTTCCGGAGGTCCATTCTTAACCTGAAACTGTTCTTAACCTGAAGCACCACTTTAGCTAATGGGGCCTCCTGCTGCCGCCGTGCCGCCAGAGCACGATTTCTGTTCTCATCCTGAAGCAAAGTTCTTAACCTGAGGTACTATTTCTGGGTTAGTGGAGTCTGTAACCTGAAGTGTATGTAACCCGAGGTACCACTGTATTGTCTACATTGAATGGCAGTAGCTTCAGGGTTTCAGACGAAGGTTCTCTCTCAGACCTACCTAGAGGTGCCAGGGATTAAACCTGAGATTTTCTGCAAGCAAAGCAGATACTGTACAGCTAAGCTGAAACCCTGAAGGGCCCTTGACAGTCACTGGAGAAAATACTCTGTTAGATGGATCAATAGTCTGACACAGTATCCAGCAGTGTTAGGATGGTCAGCATCACAACATCCGGGCAGCCCACTGTATACAATCCATACCTCCTAGCAACCAGGTAACGACACTTTATTCCCCTGATGGAGTGGACTGTAGTCCATGAGAGCTTGGACTCTGTTGCTATCGCTGCAAGAAGCTTAACACAGCCGCCTCTCTGGAAATAGTTTCTATAGCATGTGATAGCCTCCAGATGGCACTAAATCCTTAGACATGTTAGCAAAACATCCAGGGCTGAAATACTGTAGGCATCCTACACAAGACAACAGCCCCAAAATATTACAATTTAGACTGTAGGCTCCTCAAGACAGAATCAGAGAATCTTAGAGTTGGAAGGGACCATGAGAGTCATCTAGTCCAACCTTTCGATGCAAGAATCTTTTTTTGCCCGTGGTTTCGAACCCACAGCCCTAAGATAAAGAATCTCATGCTCTAGAATTCTGTGTTTTGTTTAGATTTTTCTGTAAAACACCAGGTATACTGATCTGACTGTATAAATATGCAACAACAGTTATGTTCCGATGAGAGTGTGCTTTCCATTTCCCCCGTTTATTCGTATATAATTTTAAACATTTTTTCACAAAGATCTTTTTAAAAAGATGGGCCCATTGCTTGTCCTAGGAGTATTGAAATTAATGGACGTAGCTAACTTAGCTCTATTAATTTCAAGGGGTCTACTCTGAGTGTGGTTTAGATGGATACAACACACAATTTATTACATGGGCAGTAACAAATTTAAAATAATTAGAGCCCGTACATAAAATCCTTTGGAAACCAAATTGCACAGCACAGACAATAGGATCAGTTTCACAGGTGAGGCTCATCATCTATTAGCAGCATGAGGGTGGAGATCATGTGCCAGAAGGTAAAGTTGATTTTTTCTAATTTAGTGAGATCTTGTGCTTAGATCTAATTTTACTTTCTCAGTGGTGGAAAGTATGTTAATTAGAAACTTTAGGATATAAGTTGTGGGGCTTCTTGTAATTTGTCAGATAGCCAGTATGGCACATGTATAATATATTCAAGAAACCATAAGGCACTAGAGCACTCAAAACAGCCTATCTGACAGCAGGGCTTAAGCACCTTATTCTTTCCTCCACCAGGTCAGCTTGGGGGTTAAAAGAAGTGGCGGGCTCAGCTCTACAGCGCCCCTTTCATCATGGCAGGAAAGGGGACTGCAGCCCAGCTGAATCAAATGGCTTGGATAACCAACGAGATTATATAATGCATCTGAATCTTACTCTGAGCAGGTTGTTGCTGGGAGCAGTAGTACAACTCTTGGAAGTTCACTGCCTGCCTCTGATGTTTTGTCTACCCATTCCAAAATCTACCTGCCTGCCTTGGCCCACATCTGTTTGGGCCCCTTGGATCCATAGTTATTCTCATGGACTTGACCCAAACTTAGTTAAGTTGTTTGGCTTCTACCACACTGGGTCCTGACAGGTTTGAGCAGCTGGCGGGGGGCGGGGGGAGTTGGGGGTAATGTATATAGCTTGCAGAATGGTGTCTACTCTAAGAAGCAAAGGAGCTGTACACTTAAATAAGCATTAGATGGCAGTATGCTAAGTAGCGTGAGAATGAACAGGTTAATTGCTAATCTTATGGCTCATTCTTGTTTTATCAGTAGCTCAGTGTAATCATGAGCTTCTTCCTTGGCTAAGACCTTGGTAAGGTCAGTTTGCGATTTTGGATTGTTTCAAGACTGTACAGATTACAAGACTTCCCTTCAACCTCACAAAATATTTCTTCAAAAGGTCCATGAGATTCCAGAAATAGGGCCCTATGAAAAATTATGTGAAATGTTGACAGTGCTAGTTTCTTTGAACTTAAAAACTATATACTCTTATTATTTACCAAGCAATCAAGCTGACCACCTAGGCAGGTGCTGATCTCTTAACCAAAGGAATAGTGTTAGGCTTTTATTTCGGCAGTCAAATCTAAACTTAGTAAGAAGGCATAAGTGTGGCATTTGCTTATTTGTCTGGCATTTTGCTCCCATCCCCCGAATGGCACATGATAGCTATTCTGCTTTTTCTGCCCTAAACCATTGTAGAAGTCCCTTGCCTCCTAGTTCCTAGTGCCAGTTTACGAACTGGAGAGCAGAATGGTGTCTGAATGAGATGGCCAGTGTATTGCTGCTCTTAACAGACAAGCCTGTGTATGTTTCCCCAGAGGTAAACCCAACTGAGTTTAGTGGGGCTTTCTTCCAGATAAGTGTGTATAGCAGGGATAGGGAACCTGTGGCCAGACTACAACTCCCATCATCCCTGTCTATTGGCCATGTTGCCTGAAGCTATTGGGAGTTGGAGTCCAACAACAGGTGAAAGGTTACAGGTTCCACATTCCTGGTGTTTAGGATTGCAATCTGTAATCCATCCTATGCTACGAAGTGTGTACACTTACCTGCTAGCAAACCCCACTGAACTCTGTTGGGCTTATTTCTGAGCAAACATGCATGGGCTTGCGCTGCCAGGGTTTTGCCACTTCCTGTTGGCTCTGCTACTGCACTGCCTTTCATCAACTGTTCATCTGGCCAGTTAATATTCCTAGCTTTTGGATATATAATTAAAGCACATGCAAAGGGTGCTTGGGGAAAAAATCTCTAAGTTATGATAAATTTGCCTTCCCGCAGACTATTTTCATTGTTCTGACATCATATAGTCTACTGCAGTGTTTCCCAACCTTGTGCCTCCAGCTGTTTTTGGACTACAATTCACATCATCCCTTGCCACTGGTCTTGCTAGTCAGGGATGATGGGAGTTGTAGTTCAAAAACAGCTGGAGGCACAAGGTTGGGAAACACTGGTCTACTGCAAATTGTCTACTAACAGAGAGGGTGTCTTTCTTCAACTTTGGTCTAAATATTTTTGAACATCAGGAGCCCATTGACTTTGAAATACAGTGTTTGGGGAATCTGTGGCCCTCCAGTTATTGTTGGACTCCAATTCCTATCAGTCTTGGCCAGCAAGGGCAATAGTCAGGGATGCTACGATTAGTAGTGCATCTGGAAAGCCACAGCTTCCCCACCCCTGATGAAATAATGGTTACCGGTAGTTCCCTGAAATATCAGAGCAGCCCAGAGCAAAACACTCACTGCAAGACGGCTTTTTCTCTGTGCACCATACTCTAAACTTACTAGGGTCAGAGTGGAGACAGTTAATATTGGTTTATGTGCAAACCTTTCTCTGGATTGTGCCTATCCTATGGAAATTAAACTGAGATTTAATTCCTGTATTTCATTTAGATTAGGGGAGCCCTTATCCCAGAGCTTTCAAAACTGTGTGTCGCGACACGTCAATGTGTCAACTACACTGTTAGTTTAACCTCCGATTTGCTAGTAAAGGTGAATTACTGTGTCACGAAACAATGCATGTCTAAAAAGTGTGTCACTAACATGACAAGTTTGGAAAGCTCTGCCAAATAAATTACCAAATAAAAAAGTTAGAATGGTTTCTGTCTTGGTACTATTAGACAAAGAATTATTTGAAGATTATTATTTGGAGGAGGGGGATGAATAGTTAAGGACACTGAGTTTTAAAGACTTTGAATGTTTAATAACAACAAAAAAGTCACTCTTATTATGGCACAAGTTTTTGTGGACTTAAGTGCACAATGCAATATCTCTACTAGAAACAAAATTATTTCTATGTCCAGGGTAGGTTTCACAGGACTTTATTGAAGAAAGAAAGTCATGTCATCAATAAATGTTTGCTTCATTACTTATTTTTTATTGGACAGCCAGGGAGATCTGCATATGGAAGCAGGCCTCCATGACTTTTATCTGCATAGTGATGTTAATTCAGGCACCATTAAACTAGATGGAGGTTTGTTCTTTCTTTCTTTTTAATGCAGATCACAAGATAATTCCGTTGGGGGAAGGGACACTAGTTTGATATAGTGACTAATAGTGAACAGCTCCAGCCGCATCAGATCACTTGTGGCCTAGTGGCAACACAGCACTGTCCTCATCTTGAACATAGCAGATAAATGGTGCAAATCTTCCAAAAGCCATCAAAGAGGATAGCTTTCAGCAACCTACTATCTTCGTAGTTCAGCGTCTTCCATCTATAAAAAAGAATAGTTATGTCTCTTTTTTTTTTTTTAAAGAAATTTTATTGATATTCCCATATATATACATTATATCCGTGTTTCGTACATCTCATACTTTTGGACTTCCTTCAGCGTCCTTGACATTCATTCGTATTTGTTTCTTTGTAACGCATTCCAATCTTTCATATTGCCATTAATACCACCCTTCATACCTTGTTTCCAATAAGCAATACTTATTAGTGCTTTACAGTGCCTCTTTAAAACCTACTAGCGTTGTATTTACTAAACATTTGTTCTCCAGATAGTCCGCAAATTTTCCCCAGTCATCTATAAATTTTTGATCCTTAATATATCTAATTTTCCCTGTTAATTTGTCTAACTCCGCATATTCCGTCAGTTTTAATCTCCACTCTGCTATCGTTGGGCCTTCTTCCTGCTTCCACTTCTGCGCCACCACGATTCTGGCTGCTGTTACCGGCATACTGGAAGATTTTACAATCCTTTCTTTTGATATCTTTCCCCACCATGCCTAATAAAAAAGCTTCGGGCTTCTTTACGAAGGTATAGCTTAATATCTTTTTGATTTCATTATAAACTTCATCCCAGAAGCTTTTAACCTTCCCGCATTCCCACCATAAGTGATAGAACGTCCCTTCTTTCTGTCTGCATTTCCAACATTTGTTGTCTGTTTTATACATCTTAGCTAGTTTTACGGGTGTTATATACCATCTATATAACATTTTTAACATATTTTCCCTTAGTAACACACATGCTGTAAATTTTATATTCACTCTCCACAATTTTTCCCAATTCTCTAATTGAATGTCATAGCCGAGGTCCTTTGCCCACTGAGTCATCACCGTTTTAACTTTCTCATCTTTCATGTTCCATTCTAACAATATTTTGTACATATTTGACAGATTTTTCCGATCATTATTTATTATCTCTCTCTGAAATTTCGATGCCTTTTCTTCATAGCCCTCTCTTTCACCTCTTTTTTAAATATTTCATTTATCTGAAAGTAGCTTAGCCAATCGTATGTATATATTTTTACCTGATCGTATGATTTTACTTTCCACTTCCCTCCTTCCTTCAATACCATTTCTTCATACCTGCCCCATTTTTTTCCCATATTAACTTTCTTTACACTTATCAGCTCCACTGGGGATAACCAGTGTGGGGTTTTTGGTTCTAGTATGTTCTTGTATCTATTCCAAACTTCTATCAAAGGTCCCTTAAAGATATGGCTGCAAAATCCCTTATGCACTCTTATCTTATCCCTCCACAAGTACGCATGCCACCCAAATTTATTCTTATACCCTTCCAGATCTAATAGCTCTGTATCCTCCAACTTTATCCACTCTTTTATCCAACAAAGGCATGCGGCCTCGTAGTACAGTCTCATGTCTGGTAGGGCGAAGCCCCCTCTTTCAGTAATATCTGTTAATACCTTAAACTTAATTCTGGGCTTCTTTCCTTCCCAGACATATCTAGAAATCGCCCTTTGCCATTCTTTAAAATTTTTTGTGCCTTTTATTATGGGGATCGTTTGAAATAGAAATAACATTTTGGGGAGCACCATCATTTTGACCATGGATATTCTTCCCCAGAATGATAATTTCATCCTAGCCCAAACCTCCAAATTTTTCTTGATTCCGTTCCACACCGGGATGTAATTATTTTGGTATAAATCAATATTTTTGTTGGTGAGCCAAAGTCCTAAATATTTTACCTTTTTAACTACTTCAATTTCTGTTTGTTGCTGTAATAATTCTATCTTGTCTTGATCCAGGTTTTTAACGATCATTTTTGTCTTACTCTTATTCAGTTTGAATCCTGCTAACTTCCCAAATTCCTCCATCTCCTCCAGAATTCCCTTTATACTATCTATAGGATCTTCCACCGTTAAGACCACGTCATCAGCATATGCTTTGACTTTATATTCGTTTGAGCCTAATGATATTCCCTTAATTTGTTTATTTTGCCTTATTGCATTTAATAGGACCTCCAAAACAACTATGAAGAGCAGCGGCGAAAGCGGACATCCCTGCCTTGTCCCTTTAGATATTTTTATATCTTCTGTTATAACGTTATTTATTATCAGCTTCGCCTTCTGTTCTGTATAAATTGCCTTTATACTATTCCAGAATTCTTGACCCACTTCCATGGTTTCCAAATTTCTCAACATGAAATCCCAGGCCACATTATCGAAGGCTTTCTCCGCATCTACAAAGATTAGGCTAGCTGGTTTATCATATCTGTCCGATAAATATTCTATTATATTAATTATACTTCTTGTGTTGTTTTTTTATTTGCCTTCCCGGTAGGAAGCCCGCTTGGTCCTCATGAATTATCTTTACTAATATCTTTTTAAACCTT